CGTAGTATTATAGTAGTGTTAGTCGTGTAAAAAACGTAACCCAGAAATCGATAAAAATAAAGCCGATGACGTATCAACATTTGTTGCAAGTTTTTAATATTAATATAAAAATCGTTGGGAGTATAGATTTTTTTTTATTCAAATAAATTATAGTTTCGCATCATTTAATGAGTACGAAGTGAAAAAAATCAGTGTATATTTATTTATCTGAAAATAATTTTTTCGTGATAAAAAAAAAAACTCAAATATTTTAGTAAAACCTAATCGATTCTTCGCTATACTCAAAACCTAAAATGTATAATGCATTTTCAACCTATCATATCTATAAGTAATAAGTACCGAACCGAAATAAAAGTTGTGTGCGTCTGTGTTTATAATATTAATGTCAGTTTTAGTTGTAGTACCAGATGATTCATTTAAGTGGGTACACTCATTATCTCGGAAAGTATTAACTTTTTCAGGAATTTGTTTCCTAGAACATTTAAGAAATAAGCTGCTCTGAAATTTTATATTTATGTTATTTTTGTCACCCTTATTTTTGGGGGTAAAATCACTTTTGATTTTCAAATAGCAACTTATATTTAAAAGTCCATAAATAGCTGGAGTATTAGTTAAAATCAATTTTAGTGTTGACATTTTTGATTTCCGTTGATTCGTTGAAACGAGATATTCCACTTTTAAGTTTGGGTTGGATTTTGTGTCATTTGTGTGGCAGTATGGTGCACGACGTTTTATTAGTGCACCACTACTCTCCTCCAACCAAAAATTAAAAGTGGAATATCTCACCAACAGCTTAACGGAAATAAAAAATTTCAACACTCAAATGTATTTTAACTAATACTCCATCTTTTTATGGAATTTTTAATATAGGCTGCCGTTTGAAAATCAAAAGTAATTTGTGGTTTTACCCCCAAAAATAAGGGTTACAAAAAATAACAAAATATATAAAATTGTAAAGCTAGTTGTTTCTTAAATGTTCTAGAAAACAAACTCCGAAAAAAGTTAATACTTTCCAAGATAATGAGTGTAATGAGTGTACCCACTTAAATAAATCACCCGGTAATTAATGCAAAATATTACAATTTAAAAATAGAGTAGTGTGCTATAAATATTTATGTTTTAATGATAATTGCGACCGACTCAGAGACGTTCACGTCTACCGTGACAATAAATTAACCCATCCGAAGCAGAAGTATGACCGGCTGGTGCATTAAACAATTTGAATATAGTTTAACTCTTTGATCCCTGTCTTGTGGTTATCAACACTATATTATTATATTAACAGTAATGGTTTACGACGGTTTGGACACGAATGCCTTGAAAAATAACTCGGAGACGTATTGCAGCTGTAATAATAATTACAAGTCGAGAATCTCAAGATAGCAGTAGCGAGACGTAACCGAATAAGAAAAAAAATGTCTACAGTCCCACAGAGAGACATAAATAAAATATAAAAATAATTTTGTACGTTACTTCGAGATGTAGTGAGGTGACTAACTGTTCTGAACCACAACCAGGATATTAGTTGAAACACCTTCTCCTTGTAGCATTTTTTTTTTTTTTAATTACTTAGGTACTTTTGAAACATATTAGTATATAGGTAACGAGAATAATAATCGAAAAATGGCTTATACCTCATATCTATAATCCACCCAATAGACTCGAAGTCTGTACTATACATTTTTATTTCGTAGTTTTAATCTGAAATCGTAATCAATCAACAAAATACCAAAATGTATACATTGTTTAAAAACAAAAATCGTATTAACAAATTCTATTGATCTAACGTTTAAGAAAAAACGCACTTACTCGTTAATATAAAATACTACGTACTCTGTTATTTAAAATAATGTCAAGAAATTAATTCTCTTTTATAGAATTCTAGGAAACGAAAAGCAAGGACCCGAAAAGTTTTAGTTGAAATGTTATTTGTTATATTTTGTATAATAATTGTTTTTACAATGAAAGGAAAACTAAATAACTCAAAATGTATTGTTAATGAAACTGTGTTTTGGAAAGAACTCGTTTGTATACTTTATTATTTGTATAAAACGAATGAAATAATAATGTACAAGAGTTCATTAATGGAACGTTTCGTGCATTCAATTTTCCCGTGTCAAATAAACGTAAACTGAAACAGAGTGGCGGATAGGTACCATTTAAGAACATTGATTTTATTATATTTTATTTGTTAATAAACACGATATTTTCTTTTGACGTAATCCGAGTAAATTTGACTTAATTCAGTTGAATAATTTAATAAATACCAATGATGAAAGTTGTATTTTAATGACATTTTGTGCATTATAAATCTGTAATGTATTAAAAATACGTTTAACTCATTGATGCTCCAATATTTTAGCTAATAAATTAATATTGTATTAGCTACATATTTGAACAAAATATTATAAAAAGTCAGAAATACTTCACATCGTTGGTACCGAGGTCACCGTTGTAGATGAGCAGTTTAGAAGGTATACAGTAAAGGGTAAATAAGTATATATATATATATAGTAAAAGGTAAAGTTTATATACAACACTAAATCATTTCAATAAAAAAAAACGATAACTTAGCAAAATATTAGTGAAGGTTTAAAGTCTCTATCACAGCGTGATAGTATCAACTTCCTGACGTATTTAATTCGATTAAATTTTGAATTGTTGCGACCCTGACAATCAACTGGGCGAACATTTACATTAGTACAACTGATAATTACGAGCTTAGTTAGTGCCTAGGTACCTATATCAATAATTACTCGAATTTATGAATGTTTTTGAAAATCGATTGGCGTTCATGAAACTTACTACAGTTAGTTGGTAACTAACTATAGTCAGTGTTATCAATATTAACTAGGTCCATAAATCTATTATAACCACTACATTTAAATAATATACAACATAATTTATTAAATCTAGGTGTTGTGAAAAGATAAGAATAAGGTAATAATAGCAATAGAAAGAAGTAAATATTAATTTTCAACTTAATTAAATAAATCATTGCAATAAAACAAATAACTATATTTAAACACTAATAAAATTAATAATTATTACATGTTTTAGATTATACCTGTATTTTACTTTAGAGTTCAAACGAAAACTTCATTAGGTAGGTAGTAGCTGTCTCTCACGGCTCTGTCTGTGCACAATATTGAACGGAACTTTTTAAAAAAATACAAAACCGTGAATTCTCGTTTCCACCACGTATCTATCACAATCAATCGTTGTTGCTCAGAATTTGTTTTATTTAAGAGTCCTTATTTGCTCATAACGACCAAATTAGCTATTATAAACTTTGTTTATTAATGGATTTTCAATAGTGTTATTTGTATAATTGTATCGCGTTGCTAGCTAACAATGTATAGGTACTCGAATAAAACAGCAAAACATAGAAGCGTATTTAAATAGTGATACACATTATTTCATACTACCAGTTGCCCTCAAGGGTTTATTTTACATTATGTCATGTATAGATATTTGTCCCGCGCGGCCTTACCCGTCTGCAGTATTAATTAAGTACAACGCGTAAGTATTTCTATTACGATATTGAATAATATTTACGGTTTTTTTTTTCATCTGTGCCATCGAGGTAATCCATAAATAAACACAATTTCGAATTATAAGACCAAAAATTAAGTGTCCTCTTTAGTGTCTATTCTTTAGGGATTAAATTACGGAACAAAAAGTAGCCTGTATAATATTATTAATTTATAAATAATTCCGGAAAATGCCTCGCAGTGAAAATCCTATTGAAATCGGTTCAGCAATTTCAGAGATTATAGCCTTGACATACAGAGAGATAGTCACTTAAATTTTATTTATACGTCTAGAATTATAGATATTATAATTTAATGTGCATTTAGATTGCAAATCGAAAATTATTTTATAAATTGCTCATTTAAATTTTATCTTCAATACCTAATTCAAATAATAATTAAAATGTTTTATAATGCCAGTTTGTTTAAGTAGGTAACTAATTTTATCTCATATTTTAATAACTCCACGTGCTATAACACGTCTTAATTCGATAATGTTACGAACCGATAAATATATTATTACTACAAAATATCAGAATTAAGCCGGATTTACACGATACTTAGTACTAATCATTAATAGTAATGAACGCTACCGAGTGAAAACTATCGAACTATTTAACTAACTAGTTTCAAACTATCTATTTACTCGGTTTTTTTTAAAAACTATCGACTATCGGCACTATCTATTCAGTTGAAAAAGTAAGTTGTTTTCAAATTATTTAGTCAAAAACATAATTTAAAAACCGAATCTAGTCAAAAACATTCGGTTGTTTTTCAAACTATCGATAATCAAAATCAATCGGTGCTATTGCTGAATGAAACTATCGACTAATTCATTCGATAGTTTTCAAAACAATCGATGGATAAAATTATCTATTCAATTGGTAAATCACTGTTGTTTTTTAAACTTTCGTTTGTCAATCGATAATCAATGTACTAGTCTCGTAGTCTTTGTACCCCGTTATTCACTTTATTACAATATTATTAGTAGATAGTAATATAATATGATAATCATTGATAATACTATATTGGTAATAATATTAAATTATAAAATTAATAATAAATAAGATGATAATAACAGTGATTATTAGAAGTTAATAATATATTATTAATTATTTTTACATAAAAAATTAATTACTAGTCGTGAAATTTTAATATTTTAGACTTAATTAAATAATAAAATGTAATTAAAAATATTAATTTTAACAAACAATATGTTTAGTTTATATTAACACAGTATAACATACGACGCACACGTGATAACACAAATATTTTGTTATTACTACTACTAGGCACTTAGCACTATCACCAGGCGGTTATACATTGCGAGTGCAACCGCGAGTAAAGTCGTGGAGGGGATAGCTACTTGTTAAAAAAAAATAGTAAATAGAACGGCGTTTTATTCACTCGCACTCACGGTTTCACTAATACCATTGATTGTAAATACTATTATAAATATTTATAATCAATGCTAATACTAAGCACTATTCATACCAGTTTATTCGTGCGGTATTAGTGCGAGGGACAAGTACTACGTATCGTGTAAACTAGACATCAAATAAACCGTTCAGTGTTGTGCTCATGTGTATGTTAACAGTAGAAAATTTGTCCGTGTTTTATAATTCTGTTAATGTAAATATAACTCAACTATTAGGTTTATTACTACATTTAATTACAACGAGTGCGAGAATAATGTATTAAATATATGTAAATGACGTAATATTATATTCAGGAAACCATGAATCAGTGAAAGTAAAATAAAATTATAGGTAGAAAAATCTAAGTAAAATATATCAAATATGGAATGCCTATCTATACGTACATAGAATGTAGAAATATATTATGTATGTTCGATTAATCGTATACCTCTAACCGTTTATGTAGGTACAAAATTGTCAATTCGCAATGCCTAAACCGCAGTTATTAGTGTCACATAACGAAATCCCACAAGCCGTCATTGACAGTTTAACAGAAAAGTAATGTATACATATTTTTATTTATTTTGCTTAAATATATGAAAATAAACATATATATATATATATATAATGTAGATACTCGTATATTATATTGATATGCTCATTTATGATATGATATGATAACAATGTATCTATAACTTCCTACAGATTCGACGTACAAATAATTGACAAACCTATGAAGGCTACAACAAAACAAGATTTATTGGAAAACATTGCCGGCAAGTTTGGATTGTTTTTTTCGTATACGACTGTAGTTGATGAAGACGTGATCAACACAGCAGGCAAGTTCCCCCGTTATATTCTTTTACATAAAAATCTGTTAAACGTTTTAATATAATATAAACAAGTATGCATCTATTAACGCGTCTTGGAAGCTGGACATATCATTATCAGTGTCTTTCCTATTAATAGATTTATTTTAGGACATATTTTAGAAAATACATTTCTTTTTTTTTTATAGAGCACTCGATTACTTATAAAGGTTATACCAGTATTTAGCAGTATTTATCTTCTTTTTCTTCTTTTTCTGAGACTCCGTTTAAGATCATTGTCGTTTTCAATACATCCTTCCACCTCCTTAAGCACAGCTAGACCGCCTAACTTGAGGGTGCTAAAATTATGCAATACAGACATCACACACCTAACCCATTGGGGTAATGCTCCATGGTTTCTCCGCAGTGAATCCCGGAAAAAAATTCCCACAGAAAAATACCCGGAAAAAAATCCCTACAAATAAATCCCCAAAGCCACTAGTTATACTGTCAAAATTATATGTATAAAAAAAAAAAAATCGTATATAGTTTAATCATCAATGAGTGTATATTGTATTGTGCACACAGCTGTCAAAAATAATAATATTAAATAATTAAAAAAAATAAATATAATATCGTATGTAGGTATAACCATTACAACATATTTATTTTTTCCTGGTGTGGATTTAATTATGTCCATAGTTGCACAGTTCGAAATTACTCTATAGGAACTGAAGAAGTAAAATTAGTTACGCAGGCTTCCCTTGAAAGAGTAGATAGCACAGTTATATTTAAAAAAATATTTTTCGGAATTTTTGATGTTTCGTTTGTAATCTTAAGACTAAAAAATCATAAGGATGACAATAATTAGACGATAATTTATACATACATTTGTAAATAAAATTGAAGGTTTTTTAAATAATATTATTATTGATAGCATATTATAGTATAATGAGCTACCGCGATAATTTGTTATTTCCATGTCTCCTTTTTTGAAGATTGGACATATAATACCCAAATTCCAATCCTTGGGCAATAGGCATATATTCTTTGTTCCATATATCTTTCACTAAGAGATATACTTCTGTCATAAGATCTTTTCTAGCTTATAGATTAACTTAATCCTCTCCTGGGGCTTTAAAATTTCTAAGATTTTTAATAATAAGCTATATTTGTTCCCACTTTGGTCCAGTAATATATGCATTAATTTATTTTTAGAAAAAATAAATACATTTATAGGTAGTTGAATATTTTGAAATATTATAATGTACAAAAAAAAAAAAAATAGAAAAAAATGTATCCTGGAGTTAAGGATATTGAATTCTATGTATTCTATAAAGAAAAGTATTTACTATGACTTGACCTAATCATTTTTTTAATATTTTAATTTTGTATAAATACATATATATATATATGTATATGTATGTATATATAAATAATGTATATTATATAATAAATAATAATATATGCGTGTTTTAATATAATTTAAATTCCCTTCATTTAAAATTTTTAACCATTATTAACTTATTAGTAAGTTAAAATATAAAAAAAAACATATATTCGATCTAGGCATATAGTAAATATTATTCTTTATAAACTATACAGTAGGGCACTTTGCCTTAAACTCACAAGAAAGCCGCAAACGTGGATGTGTGGTGTATGGAATTCCTATGTTGCTTTAATATTACAAGCAAGACAAATAGAGAAAACAAAATGTTGATGTAGGGTCGGCACCTTAATCAATTGGTTGTTTCTTATTTGTTTATTACTTTTTGATAAATTAATCTGATTATGAATGCAATAATTATTAAAATAAACTATGTTTATTCGTTTTATTAGGACCTAGTCTTAAAGTCATCAGTACTACGTCTATGGGTTATGAATCTGTCGATCTAGATGCTGTGAAAAAACGAGGAATCGTACTAGGAAATACTGTACTTGAAACGGCGCAAATAGTCGCAGAATGTACTATCGGTCTTTTAATTGCAACGACACGAAATTTTCTCAACGTGAACAAACAGATGAAATCGTAAGTTGCTAACTATTTTCATTTCCAAAGGGTTCTCTTTTCGTTACTTTATTTATTTTTAATAATCTTTTTAGAAGTTTTTGAATTTGGTGTACAAGATGTCCTCCAGTGTTAATTGAATGCTAAAAATTCTATCAAAAATTGTGGCCAGTCGGGTTTTGTGTCAGGGAGACATAAATGTAAAGAAAAATTAGATTGTTATTTTCATTCCCAAATCATTGAAAAAAGTTTATTTTTTCAATTTTAAAAATAGCCATTTTTTAAAAGATATTCTAAAAGTTTGAATGTATCATACATTCATGTCCAATTGATAGCTTCTTAGTTATAGTGGTTTCAATGAATAAAAAATAGACGTAATAACAATTAATATTCAATAGAATAATACGTTCGAATATCCATGTATAATGCATTCAGATTTTTAGAATAATATCTTTTACAACATTTCTTTCAATATCTTTTTTAATTTTTCTCTACATTTGTGTTAGTTATAACTACTGAAATAAGTACAATTTTCGTTACTATTTAAGTTTTATTGGCATACGTGACGATATGATGATGATAATTATTATTTTTTTATAACTATGCCAGTATATGGTGGTAGTATGGGATCACTACTGGCGATAGGATTTCAGAATAGTTTTTACGCGATGCTATATACGTATTATTTATATTTTATTTTATTAACACAAATTTCATATTAGGTACAATGTAGTAGCGTGTAACTACTATCTGTAATAGCACAAAGTAATACAATTCTATTAGACACGTCATTTTGTGCTTTAAGCTGAACTGCATAAAAATGTACTTATTTAAAGTCACGCGTTTGCAATTTATGTTACTTTCAGTGGTATATTGCCGACTGCGACGTCGTTTGGTATGGGCCTGACTAATTCCGTGGTTGGCATAATAGGTTGTGGAAATATTGGTATTGCGGTGGCGCAGATGCTGTGGCCGGCATTTAAATTGAGCGAACTGCTGTACACCAGTCGTAAACCAAAATCTGAGAGTAAGAGTGTTGTACAACATACTGGTTAATTAACATAACGTAATAAGACATTCATATCTCATAAAAAGTCTGAAAGAAATTAACCTTATCTTTATCAGAATTTGTATTTTAAAAATTGTACGAAACAAGCAGTTATTTCAAAATAAGAGTGAAACAAATTATAGCAATGAAACATTGTAAATTTGCTTGTTTATTTAATTATCTATATAAAACAAATTCCGAATAAAGTTAATACTTTTCGAGATAATGAGTATCTTACGTTATGTTGATCACTTTGTATACCTGCCTAGAACTAAATGGCAATATTTTAGGGTATCTATATTATCGATCGTTTTAAACCAAATCCAATCAAATGTTTCAGTGGAATGTCTCGGAGGACAATTTGTGTCTGTTGACGATTTGGTTCGACGTAGCGATTTCATTATTGTGACTGCGGTTTTAGTACCCGAAACAAAGTTCATCATTAATAAGGACCGATTGGCGCTCATGAAACCTAACGCCGTGGTTATTAATGTAGGCCGTGGTCGTAAGTCAATCAATATATAGAATCCGCAATATTCGGATAAAAACGCTCAAGTTTCTAGAACATATCATAAAGAAGTTTTTTTAATATATTTTTAAACGCTCCCTTCGTTTCTCAGCATCACAGCTAAAGAGTTATCAGTTATCTATACATATTTTAAATTCAAATATCTCCTATTCAATAATTTTTATTTTGACGAGGTGTACACGATTATGTACATCAAATTTTGTATACTCAAAACATAATGTGCATATCACGCGATATTTTACAGTATTGATCGATCAAAATGCCTTAATCGATGCTTTACAAGAACATCGTATTCGCGGAGCTGGATTAGACGTCATGACTCCAGAACCTCTTCCACTTGACAGCCCATTAATGACAATGGAAAGTGTCGGTAAGTATAACAGTCATATTCTATTTAATCCTTTATTAGTTTCTATAGAACTGTAGAACCTGGATTTAAATACATTCAAAATCCACAAAAAATGTTCTTAAAATGGCAAATAACTCTTAAGAAAAATATTTAAAAATAAATAATAATAGAGAAATTTTAAAAGTCCCATACCTAACACTTTTAATTTATTAAATACAATTTTCTAACACTACACACAAATGATTAATACAAGGTAATTTGTTTTAAATAAAATTATACGTATTATAAAAAAATTATTTTGTGTTCATCGTCTTTGTAGTGCTAGAAAATATCATATTATAGATTATAGCTTTTAGAAGGAGGACTTTTAAAACCTCTCTACCATTTTCGATTTTTTAAATATTTGTTGAGGGTTTGTTTGCAATTTCCAAGCGGTTTTTTTATGGATCTAACTGCATTAATATACAGCACCATTATTAAAAAAAACGAACCTAATTATTATCTACTTCTGTTGAAATAGATAATAAATTTATATATACATCAAATTATTTTATAATTTATTTTCACTTTTCTGTAGTTCTTTTACCTCATATCGCTGGAAGAAATACTTTTGAAGCTTCTATGAGAAAAGCACAATTAGCGGCGGATAATATTTTAGCGGTACTCAACAATCAACCTGTTCCTTGTGAAGTGAAACTTTAGTATTCTTCTACGAAAAAAGCTTAAAATAACAACTGTAGTTTATAAGAATAATATGCACGTGCAGAAAAATAATTAATTGAATAAACAAAATTAAAAACAGTTTATTGTTTATAATCTGTAAACGATCTCTTTAAAGGAAAAAAAACTTACTTAAAACGCAATGAATAATTAATGTACGTATCTAAATAAATTATAATAATAATTATGTTAATTTAAAATATTTTGTTTAAATTGGTTAAAATATTAATATTTATAAAATAAATTGCTGTAAACGTTTTGAATGAAATTTACATCGTGTACGAATAACTCTCCTAAAAATTAAGTTCACTGATAAGAGATTCAAATGCCCTGAAGTTTGTCACGTGTACAAAAGCTTTTTAAAAACGTGCGGTAATCTTTTTATGTAAATATATATATATAAATATGAATATTATTTATACATCATACAGATATGTTTTGTATTACAATTTATTGGATTTCAGATTTTACGGGAGGTCATACTTTTATTATGTGGTGTCATAAAGTACAATATGCAGCGAAGGTTCACCGTCGTGAACATTATCGCTTCATATTTGAACCAATTTATTCAAGAGTTTCTAATTATTTTTTATAAGTAGATGGTATTGCCTGCATTATGTGCGTACCTAAAATTCACATATTTTATTATAAAAAGAAATATATATATATATCGGTTTATATGATGACAACTCGTACAACTGTACAGTATTCAATACACATTTATGGTCCGACATTTTGAACATTTGTTAATAGGCGAAGGTGGATAGATACAGAGATTCGATAAAAAAAACCCGGGGCCTTATTTTTAAATTCCAATTTCTGTGAGGATGCTCACATTTAAACTGTGAAATGTCAAATATAAGGTACATTATCAACACTTTAGATTAATTATCTAGGTTCAAAATCATTTACACTCTAAATTCAAAATAATCTTAAATGCTTAATCTCTTTAGGTTACCTAAAGATTATAAAATAATCTAGAGGAAAGGGAATCGATATAAATATTTCTGAAATCTTTCATTGGTAACACTAATAACCGTTACACTAGAACTTATATACATGACGAGTGGTAATGTATAATATTATGCATGTTAGTAATCTGAATTTAATTTTGTGGAGTCGTATTATCATTTTCGTGGATCACAGTGACATATTACAGTTCACAATTTATAAGTACCGCACGTAATGAATTGTTTTAAAATAAGACTACGCTGACAGAAGACAATATATTTTGGCTACTAACCTTTTTGCCTATATAAACCACATTATTGTCATTTAAATTCTAAAAATAGCTGAAGCACATCATAATAATTTGTAAAACTGTGTCCGAAAAAAATATCTTTGTGGTTTAATATTATATTTATGTAAATGTTGCGTTCGTTTTAATGTATATTATAATATATTGTCATGAAGTCGATGTATTTTGAAGAGAAATTTTTCTTCACTTTTCGTGATTACAGAAAGTTTACTTTATCAAAATGTCTAACGAATTTAATTACTAACCTGTTAAAATGTTTAACCAAACTTTGCTTAGAATCTTTTTTCATTAGCAATGATTTATCGTTACGTATAAATATAAATTAAATTAATTTAATGTTAAGATATACATATCTTACTATCCCAACTTAAGCATTTTATAATAAGCTGGTAAACTTTAAACGTTTTTACTTCGGGCCTAGTCTAATTTGTAAACCATTCTTTGTCTTTGTAAAACCAATACATTTTTCGCTCAGCATTTAAAATATGTGTATCAAGTAACTAAAAAAAAGTTAGATTTCATCATGTGCTGTTTATTATGAATTTATATGCAACGAGAAATCATTTCTAACTAAATACGATTTGGAGCCAGGTTAAGATATATAATATGTTTTGGAAAACAAAATAATATTTCTGATTTTCGTTAACATTTGATATTAAAATTTGTATAAGAAAAAATTACCCTATTAACCCAATTTTTTTTTTGACCACAAAGGACGACTTATAATGAATCTTCTGCTAAATTTTCGAGCATTTCTATTTTGTCTAATAATTGTATTCATAAATTACCAACCTAGTTAAAAATATTGTCCACAGTATAAAAAATGAAATAAAATTAACATCATTATAAAACCAATACACACTTATTGCTAGGATTCGAATCTAGAAGCTTATAAAAAACTACATTATTGCGCTTAATTTTTATTATTATTTTTAAAACTAAGTACAACTTGTAATGAATGAAGAGTTAAAATTACAAGTATTTCTGTTAGGCCAATACAATTTTATCCACTAAAAAAACTCGAAAATGTTAAATACCTATAAGTAGTGTAAAAATTACCATAGTGGGCTGAATATTTTACCGTGCTTTTTATAGAAAAAATATACGAATTAACTAATATACGAATTCTGTGGAAATATCAAGACCTTAAAAAAAATAACGTAACGCATTATTGAGTAAATTTTCCCGTTTCCCTACATTTTTCACTCGTTTTTTTTTTGTTGATTATTAAAAAAAACCGCAAGAAAAATTAAAAACGATACATCCCCGGTGCACCTGCATTAGACAAAATTCGATTTCAAAAAAAGACACGCACGTTATACGATCGAAAATCGGAGCAAGATTATTGAATGTACTTTTATTTTGACAGAACAAATTAAATAAAAAAAAAAAAAAAAAACATTGTTTTTTTTTTTTTTTTATTCGGTTCGATGTCGTGTCCGGGTGTGAGGGACCGGACGGTGGTCGCGGTGGCTGCGGAGGGGGTTGGGGGGGGGGTTTGCCGGGGGAATCGTATTGACACGCATTAGGCGTTGACACGATTTATACAAATAACACGATAATAATATAATATTATTATTATATCGTCGTCGGAACAGCGGCTGTATAGGAGCCACTGTTGCGCCGCCCCGTCGTTGTCAAGCTGTAAAAGGCAGGCGGGCTACGCGCAACGCTCGCGCGGGCACACACGCGCACGCGGCGCACACGAGCGACGGTGTACCGGCACGGGGCGGTGAAGGGGTTGGCGGCGGCGGAGTGCTTTTGATGCTGTCAAGCCGGTTGGCAGATGCTGAAAAGATGGTTTGACAGGTGATTTATCATAATGTTTTGAAGTCAGCGTGACGTGGCCCCGAGGCTCTCCGTACTCATTTGTCACTGTCGCCGCCGCCGCCGCCGCCGCCGCCACGGCTATACAGTATGTGCCGTCGCCGTCTTCCACTACTACTACCACTACTACTATTACTACTACCACCACCACCATTACCACTACTACCATCACTATTACCGCCAACAACACACCACCACCTCCACTACTACTACTACTACTATAACATATCATATACGACGTTACTCCGTCCGTGACGACTTGGCGCGCGCGCGCGCGCGCGTGTGTGTGTGTGTACGTGTGGAGAACCCCGCGTGTACGAGAGCGGCTCGTTAACTCATTTTTAATGACATGTCAGACAGGTTGTTTTTATAACCGGACCGCCTCGGAGAGGAGAGAGACTCAGCAACGCCGCGTTACAATAAATAATAATAATAATAATAATATAACATATTAGAAACGATAATAATATTATAAAATGCGTGGCGAGTCTGTGCGTAGCTCGCGTACGGCTAACAGCTACTTCACACTTTACGATACTATTATATTATACTTTCCAGATTCTTCTCTGCGCGACGACGACACGTGTAAATATTATTGTATTATAATATTATTATATCGGAAGCCCTTTGTAGTGGTTACAATTTGACGCGTTGTTTGCAATGTCGCCAAAACGTTATGCATACACTGTACACGGGTTGTCGAAAAGTGCATTCAATAATCAAACAATCGTACAATTTGCAGTAAACAATATCGCTTGCAAAACACGCCTCTCGTTAAATCAATGTCTATAATATATAAGTATTGTAAATAAACACGTCTTGATTGGCTGATTCATCGTCATTGAGCTGAAAATTGACATGCATTTGATAGCTATTATTACAATATTTTCCTTTAATAGAGGATGCAGGCATACACTAAGATATTTAAAAATTCAATCCCTATGGGGTTAAAATAGAAGTGTTTAGGTATTTTCGGTTCGAATATCTATCTAATCGTTTATTTATTTACTTGTATTTATTGCATACATTATCTCGGTGACATGGATGACGATTTGGCTATCACGGACCAGAAGACTATTATTATTATTATTATTATTATTGACACCGAGAGACTATTTCGTACATAAACTCGATTCTCGGAATGGATTTTTCCGTGTTAGTATTGTCAACTGTTGATTTTCAAATAGCAATAACAGTACCCATATTTTCAAATTCCAATATTCGAAGAGAATAATATTAATTCGATATATTCATTGACTGTATTGTCAGAACAATAATAACTATAATAAGCTGTTGTCACAAATTCGAGATTAAAGATAGTACATTTTGGTTGTATAATATTTATAATTGTCAACCGTGGTTAAAGTTTATGGTATATTTGTATAATATTGACTATACAATTAAAACTAAGAACACTTTATAAAACTTGGGACACACATTATGATATTTAGGAGACACAGTATTTTAAGCCCTGGTCACCGCTGTTGCGTTCTCCTCGTTGAGTCGTACAGTTTTATGGTTACCTACCGATCGACTGATATCGACCTACATTATACTATTATGAGTATAATTTATTGGGTGGCTAACATTTTTAAAAGTGGGTGGACTCTAGCACTTTGTGAAATAATAATCTGGACATATTTCGCACCGCAGGGGGTAATTAATAGTGTATTAAGTTAATATATAAGTAACGATAAAACATTGTAATCAAAAAAACGATTCCAGAAAGAGGTTGGTACACTGGCTAGATTATAATATAATATAAGTTGTATGTTTTCCTCCTTAATAGATACTTAACCCAGAAATAAAAAAAAAAAATAAAAACCGGTATAGTAACAACATTAGTATTAAGTTTTCAAATTTTTAGAAAATCTGCTAGTAATCTAGAAAACATTTTCAAACAAAGTACTACCAGGAAAACAATTTTAAAAATCCACATTCGTAAATGTACGATATTGAATAAGTTGGAATATTTTTACCAACCGAAAAAATGGTTTACCAGAGAAAAAAATAAACCTTTGTTGAAACTAATAACTTCTTCGTTACACTCGATGAATAAATTTAATAATAATTAAATTCAGTCTTTTATTATATTATATTCAAAATTGTACATAAATTTGAACAAAACATTATTACTACGAATTATGTAATATTAATAATCAATAACGTTTTATTTTAGACTCAAATTCGATACGCATAATTTATAAATCGGGAATTATTCGAATCTTTGTAAATGATGAATGCAATTTTTCTTGGGTATACATCTTGGTTAAATCTGGAAATCACGAA